TCCTGAGAACCCACCTCGAGGGATCGGCCCAGGTAGCGGAGCAGCTGTGAGCTTTGCCCAGGGGTCATAGGAGCCAGAGGTTCCGGACAGGGATGTCCCAGATGCCGTGGGTGGTGGGCCTTCCCTGAGTCACAGGACGCTTCATCAGAAGGGTGTTGAGGAATCCAATTGAATGGCATTACATGTACAAAGAAGGTAGGAGTTCCGTTTATATAGAAACCACTTGCGCTCTCTCAGCATCTTGAAGAACAGGCAGGTTTCCCAGATGATGCAAAACTAAGCTGGAACAGCGGCAGCCCTGAGGCGAGAGGTCGTGGGCCCCGAGCTCTCCTTTGTGGCACTGCGTCTTCGCTCTCCACGTGATGCATCGAGAACTCAGCAATCATGGGCACCATGTTTTTCTGGTCTTCCTTTAAAGTTGCCTTAATAAAGCCACTGCACCCAGATGATATACCTGAAGGGGAATCATGTTGTGTTTGGCTTAAGATTTCAGTTGATTTTAAGCAATTTTCTTTGATGACATTTATCTCCCCTACTGTTCTTGGACTTTTTAAGACAGTCACCATGGCTTTAAAAACAAAACACACACACAAATGCTAATCCCTTTATTCAGCCTGAACGGCATTTAGGGAGCAATAGCCCTGTTATCAACTAAAAGATGTTTTTTCAGTTATAGAGTTCTTGGCCACAGACCTCAGAATTAGAGGTATAAACAATAAGATGTGTTCCAGCACGAAAATAATGAAACACCAAATAAATTAATCTCAAGTCTGCAAGAAGTGGAAGTGAAGTTGGGCTAAGTTAATGGGTGGAAGACACCTTCCCCACTACCTAGCACGCTGCCTGGCCCATGGTACATCCTTATGAAATATTCAGCTAGAAGATGGGGCCTACTTGAGGGGATCTGGAAATGTTTTTAAATAAAGAAAAAAAAGATCTACTTAATAATGATGGATAAAAGGCTGCAAACACAAGAGTGAGGCTCCCGTTCTATCAGCAGGTGTAAATGCTCGTTCCTGGATCTCTCAGGGTTCCCAGGCAGGAAGGGCTGGAGAGCTGAACTCCAGGCCCGGAAGTGGGTTCCGGACAGAGGCGGTGGGTGGACGGCCAAGGGGAGCCAGAAGGGGGTGGAGCTTGACTGCGATCCCGTCAGCGGGCTTCAGAGCTCTGCCTGTCGGGTGCCGAGATAAACAGAAGCTTGCATGGGGTATTTCACCCTGCTGGAAATGCTGGTGTCTTTGCTTCAAATCCTGTAAAAAGTTAAAAGTGACCTTCAGTGTATCAGAGCCCCACCTTGTCACTTTACAGGTGAGACTGGTCAGGGAACACGAGGAGCTGGAATGCCACAGGCCCTCAGCTGCACGGAGAGCGGGAAGCCAGGTCTCGCCTTTCATTCATTTAGCACATTTATCAGCTATCTATGAATGGCCTTAAACTATGTTATTACGTTATTATTAAGACTGTTTTCCTCATGGTGTGTACTTTACATGGAGATTTTTTTATGAGGTGGTTGGCTGTTTAAAATAAAATTAAGTTCATAGGAAGAATTATTTTAAAAAGATTTCACTAATCAATTAATCACAGTATAAAAACCTTGAGAAGCAAGTATCTTTAGCTTTTGGGACACAGTTAAATCACTAAAACAGATTCACCTACTGGGTGTGCTGTCTTATTAGACATAAATATAGGATTTTAATATCCCCTAAGCACTGGTTAAGCGCTTCTCCACCTAGAAAAATGAGTAGGACAGGCAGGCAGTACTCTTTTCCATTACAACACTGAACATCTGCCTTCAAGTATGTCTACAGTGTAAATATCACAAACATAATCCCAAATCCAGAAACCAGGAGCAGCGTCCTTCCTACGACAGTAGCAATCGCCTCCTGTTGATCCACTGAAGACCTGTTCGCTCTCCAACCAGAGCGGTAATCATCCTTTTCTACACACAGTGGGAAAGTGAGTTTTACTCTTGTAGGTTTTTTTTTTCTTTTACTGATCTTTCTCTGGGTTAGGTCCAAAGACTTGAGAGCAGTTTCAAGTGGGCACATTTTATTTCTCTCTTCACTGAGCTTGGCATACTCAGTTTGGGAAACGTGACGCACCCACAAGGTGGAAACGACGTGGTGTGTTTTGTTAATTTAAATTGTAATAGAGGCCACAATGTAAAATTTGAAAATGCAGTACTTGGTTGTGTTCATTTCTTTTACCCAGACTGATCATTCGTGATCTTGGTATGTAGGATCACATACTCAGCTTAAGGACTAGGCTGTGAACTGTGCCCTGAAACCTGTATTTGCTACCAAGGGGCAGTTAGGCTCAGCAGGGAGAAATGATAAGTAGGTGACATTACTGTTCTGGCATTAAAGTGTGGTTGTGGGTCCCTGGGAAATGTTTTGTTTTGGAAGGAGGGCATTTATTCGACAAAAATTTCTTTAGTACACAGATGCTAGGAGGATGCTGCAGAGATCCCTGCTTCCAAAACTAGCTTGTCATGTGAATCTCCTGGGGAGCTTTTGAAACATGGAGATTCTTCACTTGCTGGGGCTGTGATCTTGAGCGAGTCAGTCTGGCCTGCAAAATCTTCCGGCTCCTCACTTCAGGGGCCCTTCTCAGACTCCTGACCTAAAATTCTTCACTCCTTAAGGTAAGGATTAATTTGAGATTATGCAGCTAAAGATGTAAACCCTTCTGGTAACCAGTAGTTGCTTTTGCCTTTACTACGGGGACGACGCTCTTCCCTGGCAGGAAGGCTGTGAGCAGTCCTAAGGCCTCAAAGACCAAAAGAGCGAAGGATAACACTTCCAACAATGCTCAAGGACCCTTGTCACCCCCCAGGAAGGCCAACATCCAACCTGCGGTCGCCTGCCAGCTGCTGGCTTGCCTCCATCCACTGTCACAAACCTTGCTTTCCTCAGTGTTGAATTTTTGCAAGAACATTTTCCTCCTTCTTCCTGGGATTAGTCCAGGAAGAAAAATGAAGCTGTTGATACTGAATTGCTTTGCTTGAATGGAAACTAGATTGACCTGGAATTAAGTGTTGAGATAAAGAAGTGTGTTCTCCGCCTTTTCCACGCCCACCCAACTTTGCAGGTTGACCACTGAGACTGTGCGACCACTGCGGACACTGTGCAGGATGATTTGCACTTTATCAAACTTCCGGGTAAAATATTGTTTGTGAAGTATGGGTTCAATAATTTGATGGGGAAGCCATTGGGATCGCAACTTTCTGCAAGGTTAACATTCATGTTATGTGTATGTCCTGATTTGGAAAATGGGCATATGAATGCCCGGGGGCAAAAGGCTTTGGGTAACTACTTACAGAGAAACAGAGTAGGAGAAGGCAAATTAAAAGAGCAAGGGAAAAGAAAGAAAAATGAAAAGAAAAAAGAAGAAAAGGAAAATACTTGGAAGGCACTTTTTCCATAGGAAAAAAAATACTTTATTTTTTTAAAGAACAAATTCAGTTTGAAACAGACGTGGAATGTGACTTCACGGATTTCATTTTCTGGGGGCTAACTGCAATGTGGAACTAAAGCAGATCAAAAAACCTATGACAGGCTTTAAAATAAAACAAAGAAAAAAAATATTTATAACTCAAGCATAATACTGTGTTACTTACAAATTGGACAATGAAATTTTAAATAAATATTCATGGTACATAATTACGGCACAAATATGCAGCAATTTGGCAACCTTTTATACCATTTTTTTCCTCATTACAGTGCAAAGGGGATGACACTGCCGTTTAACACGCTGTAGCTAAATACATTGCAAAATTCCGATTTTATACAAAACATCTTGCTTAGACTTTATAAAAAACCAACATTGCTCTATGTACACAATCTGGGTAAGAAAAGCCATTTCTGTCTTGTTTTCATGTGTATTTTTATTAAAAAGGCGAATAAGGCTACTGTAACACCCCAAATCCATATACAGTAAAATCTGAACCTATTTACAGCATCTTCACTTAAACATCATGGTGCAAATTCCAAAGTTGGGTGACGAGGGGTGATAATACAAGCAAGGCATTTACAGTAACTTCCCAAAGTTGAACCAACTTCAAATAAAGGGACAGTTGGTAGATTGTCATATTCTGCACCAGACACAAGACAGACGCACAGAACACTTTCCAATTGGTTGCAGTTAACTCTTCATCAATTCATCTGATTTTTCACAGTTTAGCATATAAACAAAATGTAGCCAACTGGTGAGACACACATTTGATTTCATTAAAATCAGACTGTTTCCCATTTTCCCCCTTCTTGCCCCTCTCCCCCATTCTAAAGGTCATTTTTGATGGCTTACAAGAAAATCTTGTATGAATGCACTAAAAGGAGAGGGTGGGGTGATGGAAAGAATTACATATGTCCTGTGGCTGATCACCACAGCAACCTGCCACAGAACTATGATATAGATATATATAATATATATTGTAGATATATATTATACATATATGTACACATGTATGCCGCACACCCACTCATACATACACACACGCACTTTGGACCAACACCATTTTCAGGTTCAGGAAATAGAGCAGAATAATTTCTGTGACAATATATTTTTGCAGGTATCACTGGAGGTCTGAGAACCTTTAAATGCTGTTGCTGTACTTTTTTTCCTCCCAATTCAGAAAGCAGTGTTACCATAGTAACAGGACTATGTTAAAGATGTCTATTTTGCATAGCACATAAAAAGTAGGTTTCCTGTTTACTGTTTTCTTTCCCAGAAGGGAGGGACGAGGAGGGAGAGGGAGATAAAGCTCAACTTTCAGCTGAAACCCCCTCGACGTGACCTGGTGGACTCTAGCGAACACTTCAGCCATAAGGCAAGGGAAAACCCAACACAGAAAATAAATGCCGGAACATCTTGTCATTGTGAAATATATGATGCAGTGACACTGATTTCCTGGTGTTTGGGGCTTGCATTTCCTAGTCTATGGTTACATGAGATGCCTTCAGAAGACTTGGTTATTTTTGTATTTGCTCTCACTATTGTTATTTTTGGAGTGATTTTTTTTTTTCCCCAGAAGTAACTGTCCAATTGTTTCTTTAAAGCACTGAGCATTGGGACCACTTAATTGCCACAAATGAATCTCACATCTTCTGGTGTGTATTGTGTGCAATCTTAAAATATATATTAGTAACAATCTTTCACTTTATATCCCTTGTGTTCTATACACCTATTATAAATACGTCCTATCCTCCTCCCCCTCGACATCATAATTTATTTCTGTCTTATGGACTCGAAGAGGTCCGCATGTGTGCTTCGCCCCAGCACAGTACCCACCCTGGGGCCCGCGGCCCGCGGTGCCGTAAGGCTCAGTGGAGAGGGGCGGGCGCTGGCAGACGGGGATCTGACCTACCTTTTATACATGAGAATTCCTTAATAAAGTCAATGATGATGAATTACAGCCTGCTTGACCTTTGGCTTTTAAACTTTGAGGTCAGGTTTGGCTCTCTGCTGTTCTCCTAAATGCTTTCCCTGTGTTTCATAAAATGTGAGAAGTATAGCAGCTGAATCTGCTTTAAACATCACCGAAAGCAGAGCGGCTTGCCCACTGCTCAGGGGCTGTCCTCTGCATCAGTACCCGCAGACCCGCCGCCCGGCTTCTCCTCGGCCTCCTGACGTCCCCTGCAACCCCAGGCAGGCTCCCCAGCCTGATGCCCCTTTTCTCCACCAGCGACCCCCTGCGCACTGCTGTCTGCTGAGAGCGGATCCCCTAAAACGTACTCTAACCCACTGCGTGTGCTGCTGTGTCTCCTACTTGCCCCTTAAAACCCAAGCCAATCCAAGGTGCTGTGCCACCTGGGCCCTCCCGACTTCCCGTGCAGAGGCAGCGGCACCGACCTCGTGTGCAGGCAGCCCTGCTCCCGGCCTGCGCCTGCATTGCTCCTCGCAGCCTCCTCGGAGGCTGGCAGCCTGGCCTCCGGCCGGAAGATGCTCACCAACCAAGACGATTCTGCAAGTGTGTTACCCGTTCCCCCACGCTGCCGCTGCAGGCGGACACCTAGGAGACTCCAGACCTAATGTCCATTAGCGATGCGGATGTGGGGCAGAGGAAATCTCATGTGAAGTGCTGCAGGCCCGGCTGTGGACGGGGTGTGGCCGTGAGGACGAGAAGTGGGAGCCCCTTACAAGCCTGGCGCAGCCGGCGGCGGTCCCCGTGGCAGGTCCGGTCCTGCCCAGAGGCCGTGCGAGGCTGAGGGTGCCACCTCCAGGCTGGACTCCTGGCAGCATGCAGGCTGCTGGCAGGGCTCTGGCCCACCACCCGCCGTCCTCCCGGGGCTTCAGAGGGGCCCTGAGTGGCCGGGGCACATGGCTTCGAGGATGGAAGGCGGGAGGCGGGCGCGGCCGGCCAAGGGGTACCTTCCACACAAGTCTTCCAGCAGCCGGTGCGCACCCGGGCTCGTGGCGGCCGGGCCACGGGCCGGGGAAGCCGTCCGACTCCACGGGCTCCTCCGGGAAGGGGCGCGCCCCCCGCCCCGCTGTGCCCCAGTCCAGTCGAGGCCCGGGGGCTCATCCACGCTCCCGGGCTGGCGCAGCGGGCCGGGCCCTCTCCTCCGGGAAGCGAAGGCACCGCCAGGCCTCAGACCTTGTAGTAAATGTTGGCCGGGCTCTGGGGAGGCATCTCCTGCACTATGTACACTGGGTGCCCATAGTCCCCGCTGACCTTCTCGTAGTGGGGGCAGAAGACGCTGTCCGCAGTCCTCAGGGGGATGATGATGTCGCTGGGCTCCGAGCCGTTGTTGTTCCCGCCGCGCTTGGGCGTGGCCAGCGTGCTCAGCGACAGCGTGGCCGTGTGCTGCGGCGAGTGCTTGCGGTGCCGCCGCCGGTACTTGAGCAGGAGCACCACCAGCGTGATGATGATGACGATGAAGATGATGCACCCCGAGGCAATCCCTGCGAATAAGGCCACTTCGGAACCGAGGATGTTCCCGGAATGTCCGGCGCTGCTGCCGTCGGTGCTGGAACCTGCCCGGGCACGGAAGGAGAGGAGTTGGTTAGCGCGGGTCCAGGGCCGGGCGGCTGCTCTGCGGCCCGCAGGACGCGAGACCCGAGCGGGGCTGCAGACTCCGCGGGAAGCCGGAGGGGGCCACGCCTGGTCACACTTTGGCGCAACCGGCAGAGGTCAGCACAGGCGACGCGGCCCCGGGTCAGACTTGCAGGCTGCTTGCAGACCACACGGCCTCCTTTCCACCCGAGGGACAGGCCGCAACAGCCAGCCCTGGGCCTGCCCTGCGCCCAGCCCCGTCGGCCGGCCCACGGCCACAGCCGGAGAGGAGCGGCCTGGTGGCACAGCTCCTGCCGTCCTCCGCACGTGGTGGCTTCCTGCGAACCTGCGCGCCTGCCTCCCCGAGACCAGCCCTGCCCCCCAGCAGAGCTGCACAGGAGGAGAAAGGCGTCATGGGCCTGGGAAAACGTTCAACTCCTAACTCGTCAGTATTATTTGATTTACACTTAAAATATAGTTGGAAGAAACTCTCACACCAAACAGACTGCCAACCCAAATGGTAAGGACTAAAAAATTGCCTGGCATCAGTCTATTATCCATTTATCAGTTTGTCACAGAATTTGACACTTCTTGTCATGGAAAGTTAGAAATAACAACTTCCCTCCTCGATGCTTGAAAAGAGAAGGAATATTGCTGCAGATGCTAAACTCACACGACTACCAACTGGCCCCAGTGCAAACTGCTGACCTCGCTCAGTGGCCACCATATACAAATTCATTAGCCTGGGAACAACACAAAGCTCTCTGTTCAAAGCCTGCTAAGAAAATGAAGTTAAATGACAGCCAGTTTTATCTGGCACTCTGAATGTTTGCCAGGGGTCCATTTAATCTTTTATTTTATGCTAAAAATGTGACACCTCAAAGATAACCTCCTGAAAAACATGGCATTATGCAATATTTTAAGATGTTCCCCTCTAACATGTAGAAGAGGATCAATCAGGCTCTTTGTGGATTAGATATAATTAGATGAGGGATTAGAACATGAATTATATATACATTAACACCAGCTGTAAGCCAGTGCTGGAACCAGCGTGACAAGGTGTCAGCCAATAAAAGAACGCTGGGCCGAAAGAGCCTTGCTGACAATCGGCACTTGTGTCTGCTGCATATTCTCCTCTGGTGAATGTGAGACTGATGGGAATGAACTGTTTTGTTCTTACTGAGTAACTGACGACCACTGAGGGCCAGGACGACCGGCCTCCGTGACCGCAAGCCAGTCCTGCTGGTGCAGCAGCGCTCTGACGGTGTCCCACCCCCGAGACAGCAGGCGCGCAGCGCACAGACCTGCGGACGCGCAGCACACTGCTGGCTATACCTGGATTCGGTTTGACAAAGGGGCTCGTTGTTGAACTTCTTCCATTTGTGCCGGCTTCTAGCTCTGGACGTCTTGTTGGATCATTACGCCTGGTTGAGCCGGCAGAACTTGCATCTACATGAGAAACGAAAGATTACTTACAGCACAGACCTGTGGTGAGATCTTAGCTTTAGGAGCTGGATATCTCAAGAGGCATGAATAGCAATGAACATAAGATTCTCTTTGCAAAGTACTCTGAGATACGAAAATATAATTTTCCTTTTAAAACAAAACAGTTAAACTAGTTACTTCAGAGGTTTAGATTGAGAGGCCATCTGTGGAAACGATAGGGACTCTTGTATTTGGCAGGCAGAGCATTTGCAGATGACATTTCAATTTAACTGAGCAAGTTGATTGACTACTATACCAATTTCTAATTAGAAGAATAACTCTTTCTGCACAATAGGCTATCTATATGTGAAAGGCTCAGTGAATAAGAGTCTTCGGTAGTCAAGATGCAGAAATGGGTAAAATGGCAGAAACTTAGTTTTCATTCTGGATATTTTAATTTTGAACCAAAGAGGTATTTTGCCTTTAAGAAGAAAAAAACTATATATATTTGTATATATATACATTTATGGCAACAGGCATTGTACCTGGCTGACCTTAACTTTTAGAAGCATCTCTAATAAAAGCAATATGTCATATTGACTTGAGGAAATCTGTCAGTGGCTCGAGGTACAGAGAAGGGTTTGCTCTCAGAACTAAGCTGAGGAGTGAATGAAGGCGAGTTATTAGCAACACTGGCGCCACGCTAGCCGGGGCTCAACCAGATCACAGTGGCTTCAGGAAGCAGATGGTCTTTACCTTGTCCAACTCTCATGAGGATCTTCATGGCTCTTGTCTGGCACACCCCTCCCTCCTGGTTATCCAGGCCCTCCAAAGACCCATTTGATGTAGCTGATCAAAAATAAAATGGACAAAACAAAAAAATAAAGAAAAATCAGGAACTCAATAAGCCAAGTTTACATGAACATGAAATGTCTGAAAACAATTTGAAAAATAGGAATTCACCCTTAGTCACAAGTTTTTGGAAAGTATGGGATGCTGAAAGGCAAAAATAAAAAAACAAAAGAAATAAAGAAAAATGGATACTGTTAACACTGTTGCACGTATGCTATGTGGCTGCAAATTTATAAGCACTTTCTCCTTTCCTCATCATCAACTGATTCAGTTAGTCAATAGATACAAGGGGAGGCATCTTCTAAAAAAGCTAACTATTTTGGGGTCAAATTCAAAAGAGCAAAAATAGTTAATACAGCAATTTCAAAACGTGGTAATCATCACACAACACCTGCTTCCTCTACTACAGATTTCCTGCTTCAAGAACAATTAGCCTGATGCTCCTGTTTGTCAAGGATCCAAGCTCTGTAAGCACTAAAAGAGGAGACTCCCACAGCTCTCTACTTTCCCCAGCTTTATTCAAGCTTAGAGGTAGACTAGAATTCAGGTTTTCAAATTCTGAAGTTTTTCCCCATAATTTTGAACTCATTTCGAACAGAAAGAATGAGTGGGTTATTATTAGCAAGATCGACCTTAGTCAAACTCTTGAACCAAGTGACTTGTTGTAGAACTCTGAAGGGCAGGGAGACGACACGGGCCCACACCCTGCGAGGGTCCCGTGGCCACTTGGAATACACAGTGGGCGCTTCCAGCAGCTGCTGGCCTCGCGTTAGCCGGCTCGATTCCCTTTCCGGCTCAAGAGGGAGGGGGGGGAGGAGGGACAGGACACTTGACCATTTCCCGTATTTTTTAAAATACCTATTCTCTACCCTATTAAAACACATTGTTGTCTGCCTCTTTAGGACGCGGAGTTCTCTAAGCAGCGTTGTGTCTAAAGCAGCAAAAGGACAGGCTGCCAGGTACTTTGCCGAGGAACAGATTAAAGTTACAGGTCAAGTTCCAGAAGAGGAAAGAAGGTAGAGAGAGCCACATATTTTCTTTCCTCCAAAGTTCAAGGGCCAAGGAATGGAGGTGTTTCATATATATTTCTGCAATGTCAAGCAATCTCTACTTTGATTATCAAAGTCTTGTCTACTGATACTGTACTTTGAAAGGCTCTGAAAAGGGGACAGGATTTCTGGTAAAACCAAATACAAAGGCATATTTTTTTAAATGGGTTGTTTGCTTTCCACATGGTGGGTCAGCAAACAAGTCCTACACACATGCCATGGTAATCGTATCAACTGGAAAATAAGGCACCCATTTACTGGTCTTGTGTTCTTGAGTTTATCGACTTTTACTTTCACTGTTTTCCTTAAAAACAATGGCTGCCTCTTGTGTATGTATAAATATCTCTCTGCTTATCTGGGTGTTTCCCTAAAGTTCGCACTCCCACAACTCTGTCTTACTCTTCTGCTATTGCTGACTCTGAGTTTCTCCTGGGAAACTGGGCAAAAGTTGCCATAATAATTTTGAGGGAGGTTAAAAGGTAGACAGTATTGTCTTGTAGACTTCTGAGAAAATGTTGGGCAGATAAGTTAAAACAAATACCTAAAAACTTTGTATGCATCTGTGAATATATAAAAAAAATTGTCTCTTTTTCCCCATTTCTTCATTTCCTTTCCTTTTTCCCTCCTCCAAACACGTGCCTAAATTTTCAAGTCTCCTTTCCTTGTGAAGGCTGAGAACAGTATGGATATCTCTGAGCACCACGATTTCTGGGCAATTTCTGAGCAGCACTATAACCTTCACTTCATTATTTAAAGTTTTCTCATTTGATCTTTCTCAAAAATAAGGATGTATTTTCACATAGAAAAAAAGGAAAGCTGATGTCTTTATTTGGCTGATGGTTTCAAAGGTTTTGTTTACTTCATTCAAGAGGAATCTCCATTTTTCTCACTGGTACACATATAAATGAAGCACACACAAAAGGGCACTGGGACACTGAGTTAAATGAGTAATATTTTCTGGCTAAAACTTAACACTCAGCTGACCCCATAATAAAAATAAGATCTGGAGAGTGCTGCACAAAAAGCGGGGGTGGTGGGGGTAGGATATAGATTTTGTTTAACTTGAGGTAAAAGGTAAAAAATTCAGGCCTAAAAGAAAAAATAAATAAATGAATTCCAGGAAGGATAAGGCCAGGCATTGTAGAGAAGAGTCGCTGGAAAATATAATTTAAAACTACTTCTAGGGAGGGAAGAAACCTGGGGGACTCTGTCAATCTGGAAGCACTCTCATCACTGAAGGGGCTTTTTCTTCCAGTTTTGGCTTGCAGGCCAATGCCTTTTCTGAATTCCAACCCTTCATTAAGAATTCCCTTTGGTTTACCCAAAATGATGTCCCAATAACCCCCAAATGAAAAGAACCCAAATGTTCAAATAAAATTGTCATCTATAGTTTAACATCCACAGACTAAAAGATGGGAGGAGGAAAATTGTGTAGCCGGAGAATGAACCTGATTTGCATCTTTAACAGTTGAAACTTGTTATGTTCTGGGGACAGAAGGGCCTTCAAGTCCTGGAGATGCATAGCGGGAACTCAGCAGATGCTCTCTTTGCAGGCCACTAGGATGCTAGTGCTACGAGCTACTGCTGGTGTAGGGCGGACAGCGGTGAGGGAGTGGTGGGCCCAGGGCAGAACATTGTGAGGCCAGTTTTTCCACTACATTCTGGACTCTGCTTTGTTCCCTTTTAAATCAGCTTGGAAGTTGCAAGGTTAATGGAAGATATTGAACAATTTGTTACTAATGTTAAAATAGCATCCTACATAATTGGCTATTTAAAAGGGGAACAAACTTTGAAACATAGTTATATGCTTCCCCTTGAAAGACTTCTGACCTAAGTTAGCAGTGATCTAAGCTGTCATAGCAAAAGCCTGTTTCAGTAAAGCTTTATAACAAATATAAAACAATTAAGAGTGACTTCAACTCTTTTATATTTGATCCCATGGTGAAAATTAACTCCTCCCTTCCCTGTTACCTCCCCATCAGAAAGGGTAGGGGGTGTGGATCTAATTCTAGAGGATAGAGGACCCCCAGTTCCTGCCCTGAGCAATGACATGGTTGATGTGCCCTCTCCTGATCAAGCCTCCTTACTGGCAGTGAACTCTGAAATAAAGTCACAAGATTAATGTTCTCATTCCTGCTCTAACAGCCAGTCACCAAAAAGCTCAAAAAGCCCAAAAAGACCTAACAGCTAACTTTGAAAAACAATAAGAAATTGCTAATGCTTGGGTATAAAATCTATTTCTATTTCAAGAGACAACTTTGCAATTATTTTTATTGTTGATTTGAATGTATGGGGAGATTTTAACTTAAGAGAAAGAGTAGAAATAAATTACCTCATTATACTTAGTTTTCTTTGTATCTTTCTACCAGCATTAGCTAATGCCACCACAGTCATAGTATTACTAAATGGATGTAATTGCATTTAACATTTAGAGACAGAAAAAAACAACATTTTAGTGCCCAGACATTTTTTTTGTTGGCCCTGGGAAAAAAATGGACTTTATAAAATTAAACATTACTAGGAAGTTTTCTCCATCTAGTTAGACAACAGGTTTAATAAAGACACACGGGCATTTTACAGCCTGCTTTTAAAAGCCTTCACTTCAGGGATCTAACTGTGTATAGTGAGTGTACTGAAATCACTATCTTGTTTCCCCAGAGCCTGATTTTCAGTGGGTGGAGACCATTGCTCAGCAGAAAGGACTCCCAAGTTAGCATGGCCGAAAAGCTTTCTTCACATCTGAAAACTACATAGCCAACATCTTTGGTTTCGCATTGATTTGCACACAAATTTATTGGAGGTCTTACCCACTGGGAAATAGTACCCAGGTTATCTGAGGGCAAGAATATTTCTGGCTGGTTTTCTAGGCTGTGTCCCTGGAGAGGAAGTAATGTTGCACCTTCACCGTGTCTTCATGTTTGTTACTGCTCTGTCCCCCAGGAGGCTGAGCCCCATACTGGGGTCTGGCCTTTCAGCACGCTGTGTGGGCGGCCCTGTGCTCATTGGATGGAGAATTCCAGAGCTGGCTGTGCACCCACACATGGGTCTCGTTCACAGGGGCATGAGGAATGGGGGCAGCACACACAGATTCTGCTGAATCGGCAACAGCACTGCCATGGAGGGAGATGCTTGGGCTGTGATGGGAAGGATGGAGCGCTAGCACGCTCCCTACTGTCAGGGCACTTGGCTCAGAGCTACTGCTTATTGGAAAGGGGGTGTGATGGACACTCAAACATGAATATTTTTATCAACTCCATCAAAGAAGTCCACCAAAGATAAACATAATAAGCATTCAGAGTCAGGAAAGCCAGAGTTCAGTTTTCTAGTGAGAATAAAAATCTCGTCTTTAAATAAAGCTGCACATGACATATTCACTCTTATTTGATTATGAAACAAGCAGCATTTTATGAAAATTCTTTATCAGCATCTTCTTTGTATTGCTCTTTTTTCTGCCATGTCATATGCTGGCCCTACTAATTTGATTTCTTAGGCCAGCCTTCCTACACATCAGTCTCCTTAAGCTCAAAACAGACTTCTGAAGAACCAGCAGCCCTATGGCCTGGCCTAATTAGACCGAGGAACTAAAAAGAGTGGAGTCAAGTGAGAAACATGGAAAATAAAGTGGGGACATTAAAATAAACATGACACGCAAACTAGTTTACTGTTTTCTTCTACCAGGGGTAGCAACTCTTTGGGTGTCTAAAAAAAAAAAAATGGAATGAGATTTTAAGTTGGAAAATAAGGAGGCTGATAAAAATACAGTGAGATAACGGGAACGGACAATCCGGGAAGCTAAGACCCGTCTCCTCAGCAGCCTACCATCAACTCAAATCCAGAGGGTTTGATGCAAATTCAAAATGTGTAAGACAGAAACAGGGACACAATTTCTAGAACACAAGGAAGTTCACAGCTTGGGTAACATAGTTACCCTTTAAGATACGACCTTGG